ATATGAAATGTTCCATCCTCGTTTAATTGCATAGACATTATTCTTGCTTCGTGTATATAGATCTCATTTAGCATACTTGAAACTGTGCATTTGTTTTTTTTTTTTTTGTATCTAGATTCCATTTAGTATACTCGTGTCTCGTATACTTGCTTTGTGTGTTTCCGATTCTGTTTGATATACCTGTGTTTTGTATACTTGCCTTACATACTTTCATTTTCGTTTGGTACATTTGTAACCGGTATGCTTGCATGTTGTGTATCTCATTTCAACTGCTTATGTAGCTTAGGATGATCCCTAAGTCTCACTTTGACATAAAGGTTAGGTGGCATGAGCCCTTTTAACATGTTTCACCTTAAGGTGATATAATTGTAAAATGCTAGGTCAATGCATGCTCATTTCCTATAAGTAGCTTTATGTTACTCACCTCAAAGTTACTGGGGTCATTTTTCAGGTACGAAGACTTGGTTCATGATGCTCATCATTCCTTGGATGACTTGTAGTTTTTAAGTTTTCATTTCATGCAAATGTTAGCATGAAATGTCATTTTGTAGCTTTATATGTCAAAACTTGTATCCTTGATTCTATATATGTAATGTGTACTTAAGTACACCTTTTGTAATGTATTTGACATGAATGAGATGAGGCCGGAGGCCAATGACATGTATTTTGTATTCTAGGTAACTTTTGACTTCATGAACTATTATGAAAATATTGAAAAATCATAAGTCATTGTTTCAACATGGTTGCATCGGGAGTGAGAATTCCATTTTTATTCTTCCATAAGGTCTCATTAATCATGTATGAAGTGTGGCCAAGGGCCAAACGGTAATTTGACTCCATTTTATATTTTTGGATTTCAAATTTTCCATTTCAAGTTATTTTTCTCATTTTTGGCCGTCAGGGGGTTGGATTTTGAGTCGGGGCTTCTCGGGAGTCGTGGACCATTCCCGCGCACTTATAATCATTTACTACACTTGCGTGCACATTCGTTTCAACCTAGAAATGCATTTAGGGTCAAATGCATACTTGGTGCAAAGTTGCATTTTTTGAGTTTTTAAGCCTTTTCTGATCTAAGGGCATTTTGGCCATTTCACAGTGTGTTTTTTTTTCATTTTCTCCAGGTAGAAAATTTGACTTCGGGAGGGGTTTCTTCTTCGTATTTTTCCAGAAAAATTCGTTTGATAGCCCATTTTTGCTCTCAAATGTGGACAGTTACTGTAGCAGTTTTTTTTGGCCCTCTTGACCTCTTCTGATGTAAGGGCATTTTGGAGATTTTGCAGTGAGTTTTTTCATTTCCTTCTGCGTGGTCGGGTAGAAAACTCGATTTTAGGAGGGGTTTCTTCTTCGTGTTTTTCCAGAAAAATTTGTTTTGGCATCTGTTTCAAGCCTCAGTTATGGAAAATCTACTTTGGACCCTTGCTGTCAGCATGTGCATGCCATTGGGTGCCACATGGGGCGCGGTGGGCGCACGTATAGGCGCATGGGGCTGCCATGGCCTTCGCGGGCCGCCACGACGTCTCAACTTCAAACCCTCGTTTCTCCTTCGTCCGGACTCCAAATCGAGTGAACTTTTTTTTGAATTTGACTAATTTTTTACTATCTTTCTAATGGTATGCTCGATTGCATCCAGATCTTCCTGAATAATTACCAGTTTACCCTTTTTCCTTAAGTGCTCGTTTTTCTTCGTCATGCCATTTCTCCTTCATCCGGACTCCAAATCATGCGATTCTTGAGTCCATCTTGATTAATTTTTCATTGTCTTTCTAGCGGTGTACTCGGTGGCACCCAAATTCATAGTTTCAGAAATGACTATTTTGCCCTTGGGGCTATTTTTGTCTAGTTTATCTTACTTTCCGTTTTCGCTACTTTCCTTTGAGTTCCGTGACTTCCCATGAAGTCACGGATGTGTTTCGGGAATGATAGACATTTTAGGGATGTCATTTCCATGAAAAAAATGACTATTTTGCCCCTAGGGGCTTAATTATTATTTTTCCGATCTTTTGCTTTTGCGTCAATTCTCATTGAGTTCCATGACCTCATGGAAGATCATCAAAGTGTCTAAAAGGTGCGTTGTGCCTTGGGAGATCATTGTCCTGTTTCTTGCTTCCGTAACTGGATCTGCTATCGGGTCAATCTTCAGTTCATCACAAGACGCACTGGCTTGAAAAACCAGGGTCGTCACATTTAAATTACCATGAAAAATCAAATTGTGGTAATTTAGAATACCAAAAAATGCTGGATTATATCATGTTGTGTGAAACTAAGTTAGAACCAGCCAATTCAAAAAATATCTTGTACTCCATTAAATTTTCTGTGCAAGCTTAGGTACCAATTAACTGTACTTGTTCCACTAGTTATTCGAAATTAGGAAGGAAGGTAAGTGAGCCAATTTTTACAACATTTCATCCAATTACATACATGCCACAAACACTCATGTCAAACAACTTAAGTGCTCTCTCAAAATCCTCCTAATAAATATACCATTTACATCAATCATCTCCTTCTTTAACATTGGCAACCTTATACAACTCCTCTAGAACTTTATTCCTGGGATGATCCAATACTTGCAAAAGGAACTCATAACGTGTTGCCTTAGACTCTACCTGCAATATTAAAAAATGTTACTGCCAAATAATATTACAACGTCTACCTTATGGATTTTACACATACATAGAAATAATAATGATAACATTACTTACACAAAATTTCCGATTAAAGTTAGTGCCATTCCAGAACTACATTGACCTCATTACAAACAGACCACAACTATCCTTGATAGGCAAATAGTATTTAACTGATCTACTCAGTAAGGGAAGGCATAGTATTGGATTTATGATACAATAAATAAAAAATTTATTATGCACTTGTATTGAAATAGATTTTTACATACGCATCATCCTGGAGAGGGATTTTATGGTCCGTCTTTGTTTTGTAAGCTGGCTACTTTTCTTCCTCCAACGCAACCTCAACAAACTCTTTCTGTCATACACATTAACCTGAAGTAACTATGCATTTTTCATAAAACAAACATTAACAAATGGGGTTGATTTCATTAGATAGATGTGTACCACACAATTCCTAAATGCGATGTATTTGTGCGATCGTCCAATTCTGCATAGGTAGTCCACTATTTTCTTAGGCCAGTTGACTACGAGTAGAAACTAATGTTTCTCAATGATTGCAGGGAAGAATAACTATACGGTGATGAATATAAAATTATGGACAACAAAACATATTGGTTAAAAATAGTACGATCCAATCATTCGTACATTACACATCTTCTACTTTACTGTAATGCACAAAAAATTACTCCAAAATCATAAAACTAACCAGCTCAGAATGCTTGAACACCGTCAAATCTTCAAGCTTACACACTTGTTTGTATTGTTCCAAGACTTTTTTATCAGAGGCATGTGCTTCTTTGCAATGTCATATTTAATGACATTGTGTTCTTTCAAAAACTGGACAGCGCAAATATCAAAATAGTGGTGATTCAATTTCCCTTCTTGTTCTTCGTTGAACACCATTTCCCATAAGTTTATAATCTGAATTGACAAATGCAATTGTAATAGGTTCATCATATCATAATCGTAAAAATACATATCAAATATGTGAAATGTGTGGTGTAAATCCACACACCAAGATCGGGATCCAGTTCGGGTGAAACAACTCGTGTATGTCTGTCCGAGAAAGATGCATATCGTACATGGAAACTAAAATTTCACTAACAAATGTAAATCCTCCTTACAAATTAGTATACGTGCACTAATACAATTGTTCTTACTAACTAATTACAGACAGACAACACATTAAACAACAATATATGGACTTAGGAAATTCACAAATGTGGGTTACACTTACCCTTCATCACGACCTCGCGCAGCAGCATAACTTAATAATTTCTTCTGCTTTGGAGTTAATTGAATTTTCTGACTATCCCTAGATACCCATGGAGAGAAGTAATATAGTGCAGGGTTTTTGCTCCTAGTACCTCTTCTGAATTGTTCCATCGCATCCTTCCCTTTACCATGTAAAGTTTGTAAGGATATATCAGGGACTGAACAACTGGGACTTGTATGTGTTGCTCTTAGGTTGTCCTCCAAAGCCATGCCCACAGCGTCATTTAACTTTGTCCTTTCATCCTCATTTAGTAAGTCATTGCTGGTGGGGGTAAAGTGGGCATGATCTATACCGCCAAATTCTGGTTCCTCACCTGTGTGAACAGGGGAGTCAAATGTTTCCCTCTCAACTTTGTTTTCAGAATTCTATGGCACATCTTTGTCCTCAAAAGACACTCCCCCATCTGTTGTACAAACACTTGCTTTTCCTGCAGCCCCTTTTGACTTTTTTCTCCCCAAACTCTCCATTTTCTTAACCTTCCTTTTCAACAATTTTTTGTTTTCTGCTTCTCTTTCCATTTCGTTGCGAATTTATTTAACGCAGCACTGCATACAAAATTGTAATTGATTGTCACTCATCAATTGCATTTTCACAATTTCATTCATACTCATTAACAGTAAAGTAATATATCGTTACCTCAACCTCACTTTCCGAACAACTACCATTGTTTTTTTCACCTCTAAACCACGACGATGACGGAGAATGGGACACATTCGCCTTGAGAGGAATTACATGTTCCATATAAATATTTCGAACCTAATGTACGTAAACAACGAAATGGTATCATATACAACAAAATTTTCATTTCAAATACTTTTTAAATTTAGTGTAATACCTGACCCATTCCAAAACATCTCATTTTCAACTTCCATTTTAAGCATTCACGTACAAGGGCAGTGTCCCAAAGACCAAGACTGGTTTTATCGCTGGTGGTGGGATAACAAAGGTATTGCACTTTACACCTCATCACATATAGAAGCTGAATTAAATTGCAGCGCGTTTAATAAGTCATGATTCATACTAATGACATAAATAATAAAGTATTTTGCAAAATATAAGTAGGTTATGTTATTTACCTGCAGGAAGAGCACGCATCCGATTTACTCGTGCTTTATTTTCCCACCTTCTTCAAATTCACCCAAATGAGCCATTAAAGTTTCAAGCACATATGTACACCAGTTGTAAGACTTAATTTCATTCACATTATGAACAGCCTTTAATTCTTTTACATGTGCACTGTAATGTCCATTAGGTGTTAAAAAAGCGGCACATGCAAAAATCACAAAGGCTCTTTTGAAATCTTCGCCAGACTCAGATTGTTCTACCTTTTCCATCAGAGCATTTACATTCAACCCACTTCGATATCCATCTTCACTTATCCAATTGGCTTTAATAAGTTGACATGTAGGCACATCCGTGATTCCAGCAAGTAAACCAAGGATGTTGTGGACATCAATTGCATTAATTGGGAGATATTGATTATCTTCAAGTTTGATGCGCCATTTCTGTATCTCCAAATGCCCAATGATGTAATCAAAGAATGTGGTAAAGAAATGCTGACATTGTAGGTTCAGCAAATTGCCGAAACCTATATCTGCCACATCTTTCCTCTTTTCTTCTCCAAGTTTAGATATTGTGTTAATGAATTTGGAGATCGAGCATTTGTTCCACCTAGGTTTAACCTTGTATTCAACCTACAACATCCCAATGAATATAATGTCACATTAACAATTTCATGTAACTACCAGTAAGAAAGTATCAATTGCATTCTTTTCTACTTCATATTATGTTTTCAAAACAATAACAAATTCAATTAAAAATTTAATCAAACTCCCCAACTTACCTTCGTCTTATTTTTGTTCACTGCTAAGCCTCCACGGTTTTTGAACTCCAAATCACGCAATCTTTTATCCTTATAATATGGACCCTTCTCCTCCATGCTCATACCATTCCATGCATCCTTACATTTCACTTCCAATATTTTTTTATCAGCACCCTTCATTGGCCATGCACTTGTTGATAATTCTTCATGAAAGCAGCCCTCATACACACGATATCATATCCAATATCACCAACTCAATATCAGCATTTCAATTCAATACATATGCTTCACAACTTATTTCACAACTTACTTATACACTTATCAATTGAAAGATAAACATGTTGAACCAAAAATTTCCTAAACTTTCACAATTACCAAAGTACCACATTAGTAAAACATCAATTTCATTTCAAATGCATGCAAAAATTATGTTTTTGCATTATAAATAATTCCAAATTCTAAACAATCAATTTTCATGTCAACGTAAATATCAGACAAATGAAAAATATATTTGCTCAACAGGGAACCATAATTCATACAAATGTTATCGTGAACATGAATACTAATATAAATGTATACTTACTTAAACAAAACTTAAACTCCTCCTCCACGATACAGACTATTCACTAATGCACTACTACTTAGCTGGGGATCATAATCCTCTTCGTCCACCTCAACATTAGGGGTACAAGTACGAGTACGAGTAGATGATTTGGGGGGGGGGGGGGGGGTGTACGACCCGCAGAAGAAGATAGATTACGCATGCTTTGCATCATATATTGGAGAGTAGGAGAAAGAGGCAGATGAACAATATTGTCCGCGATTTTTTTCCGTATAGGTATTTTTTTCGTATAAGACCTTTCTTTCAAGCTATCGACTTCTTCCGACCCATTTCTAAACCAACCTTTATAGTGTAACAAAACACACTCGATTATGCACAAACAACCTTTCCACCAATTGTCAGTCAACAAAATTTTAACTACAAATAGATAAAACAAACACACAATTAACTGCAAAAAAAATGCAACAGGAAAATCATACCACCCAACAACAGATACAACACACCAATTACCATTACAAATTGTATAAAACATTACATTGCCTTACACGAATAAAATTTTTATAATTTTCAATTCAGTTTCCCACAATTTAATAGTAACAAATAACCAATTAAAACTAATGAAGCAAATTTTTAATTGGATTCAATTGCCTTATATAAAACATTGCATTGCCTTACATGTATAAAATTTTCATAATTTTCAATTCATTTTCCCACAATTTAATAGTAACAAATAACCAATCAAAACTAATGAAACAGGATTTAATTGGATTCAATTGCCTTGTATAAAATATTGCATTGCGTTACACGAATAAAATTTTCATAATTTTCAATTAATTCTCCCTCAATTCAATAGTAGCAAATAACCAATCAAAACTAATGAAACGGAATTTAATTGGTTTCAATTGCCTTATACTGTACTATTTATGACGCATAACTTTTTCAAAATTTCACAAATAACCAAACAAAAACTAATAAAATAGAATTTAATATGGTATATTCAATCAAATTAAACCTCTGAGTTTGGAAAGGCATAGACAGATTTTAATAGGATTCAATCAAATTATAGTATACTATTTATCACGAATCACTTTCTGATTATTTCACAAATAATCAAACAAAACTAAAAACACAGAATTTAATATAGTATATTCAAAGAAATTAAAACCTCTGCGTTTGGAAAGGGATGGACAGAACCTTTGGAAAGAAAACCTAAGTCCAACAGTTATAACAACCGCGACCTTCTTCCAACTCCACTTCCAAAAACCTAAGTCCGACAACTATAACAATAACAACCTCTTCTCGCGACCTTCTTCCAACTCCACTTCCGAAAACCTAAGTCCGACAACTGTAACAACCTCTTCTCGCGATCTTCTTCTTAGTCCTTCACGATCTTCTTCCAAGTCCTTCTCCTTCTTCCAATATTCAACTTCCCTTCCATTCCGACCTATTCTGACCTAGAAAATGAAGGATATTTTGGGGGATTTTTGAATATGAAGGATATTTCAGAAAATTCCCCCAAATACAAGTGTATATACACTATATAATATATATACACACTAACATATACATTACAAATACACTGTGTAACAATTGAGGTAACTTTTTCATACGGAATTTTTTTAAAATGACGTGGCTATATCTAGGCCACACATCCAAACCGGCAGGAACATGAACAGGAGAGGATTTCGCTCCTTATTTTAATAGTTAGACTATGGACTATGTATAAAGGAACCTCTTCCATGTTTTTTTAAAGGACATTGTGAATGTCTTAATTTCTTACTTAAATTATTATCATCTCATTTTTATTATTTTTTCTAAGTTTAAAAGTAATGACACAAAGACAGTTTATTTTTAAATTAAAAAAAAAGAAAATCAATAATTAACTCATTTGCTCGTTACTTTGAACTCTTTGATAGTTTGCAAATTTTTAATATGTGCAATTACCCACAAATCATTCATATTACGTTTACTTATGCTATATTTGGCGATACCGTATCGACACTTAAAATTTAAGACTGGAGAAAATTTAGTACAAATTTTGAACTAAACTTTCTCCAATCCCAATTTTTTTTTTTCCCCCCTAAATGATGGAGTACTCTAATCCCAAATTCAAAACACATATTCGATACTTTCAAATATAAATTTTTGTACTTTGTGATAATTGAACTCAGGACTTCAAAATTTACGATTTATCTAAAAAAAAAAAATTATTAGGAGGTTTTTTTTTTAATGTACCTAAAGGGGGATTTGATTGCCACCGTATAAAATTGTCTAATTTGTGTTTTTTATAAAATATCAATTTTTGCATGTGATAAAATAAGGGGCTAGGAGAAATAAAAAATAAAATAAAATAAATAATGCCTTTATAAAAAATTAGACAAAAAATGTATATCTAATTGGGAATTGTAGTTGTGGCAATTAGTGGCGTTTTGGCTACAAAAGACACAAGTAGAGGCATCAGTGGGATTTGCTTCTCCGTAGCCTAGGCTCTCAATTAGAAGGGAATGACAAACTTGAGAGTATGGAAAAAATACTCTCTTTCAGTTACAATCATTTACCTTGCTATCTAAAAATTTGTTTCTTATACTTGGGTATATTCCCTGAGAATTATAAGATTGAGTGCATGAGACTGATTCGATTGTGGACTGTAGAAGGTTTTGTGAAATTGAGAGAAGGAATAACAGTGGAAGAAGTTGCTGAAGGCTACCTTGATAAGCTTCGTAATAGAAGCTTGGTAACAGTGGCAGAGGTCTACTGTTATGGGGTTGGGAACCTGACAAGCCCCCTGACAGCCATGGGATGCTGTCAGCGTGCACTTGGGGTACCCAGTGGCATTTTCGTAAATATGGTGAAAAAGTGAAGCTTGGAATTTAGGCTCGGGATCTTTATGGGAGGTACCTTGAGTCCATAGAAGATGGTTGGCGTAGACGGCACTTGATTTGGATGTCGTGCACTTTGAGACATTTATATGTGGGTAAAGATTAGTGGGCTTGGCACGGGCTAAGTTCACAAGGTTGGCTCAGATGTTGCTTAAAGCATAGACCACAAAAGTCATAGACGTGTGGCATAGTCAAGTCAGGGACATGGGCACAAGGCAGTGAGCGTAGGCAAGGCTCAGCATGCAAGGTTGGCTCAAGGAACTCAGACATGGCTTATGGTTACAGAAGATGGCTAAGTGGACTCAGGTGGTTGGGGGAAGTTACACTTCCCACTAAGTGGGCTTAGTTAGTTGGGGGAAGTTACACTTCCCACTAAATGGGCTCAATTGGTTGTGGAAAGTTACACTTCCCATTAAGTGGGCTCAGTTAGTTGGGGGAAGTTACTAGCACTTCCCACTCATGTGGGGAGTGGGGGTGTGCTGAATAACTTCCCATCCATGTGGCATAGATTTGAGAAGACAACACACAGGCGGTTGGAGGTGGTTTCTTTCACTATGCTGAGTGCAACTTCCTGTGGACACGTAGCATGAGCAGAGCATGCCAACAAGCTAGTAGTTGGGCTTGTCAACTACATATGTAGTGTTGGCACACTTAGTGAGTGCCAACATGACCCTAGGTGGATGGGGGTGTCATCCACCACTTTAGTGGGCAGTTGTGGGTGGATGGGGGTGTCATCCACCACTTTAGTGGGCAGTTGTGGGCGGTTTTGAGAGTTTGCCTATATATTGCTAATGTGGGTTCTGTTGTGAGAGCAGATGGAGAGTGAGACACAGAGTTGTGTTGTGAGAGACTCTTGTATGCCTCTGCAGGTTGAGGCCTTTCCTTATACTGTTTTATGAATAATAGTAAAAGGTTGGAAGCCTTGTGCTTCTGTAAATTTGTGGGTGTTATTGTCTTTACATTCTTACAACTATACTTGTGTGTGAGAGTGTTTTACTTGCTGTGTGTTTTAGGCAACAAGTGTGAGTTGGTTGAGCTAAGTTAGAAATTTAGAAAAAAGTTGTTCACATTTCTGGCTTAGTGCCATCACAGGACACTAAATTCGTGTTCAGAATTTATGTGATACCCTTCGATTCTAGAGCCACGGGTGATCAAGTCCGAGCACAGATCCGAAGGATATCAAACAATTAATATTTAATCGAACACAGAATACAAAATGAATTTAAAAAATAATAATAAGCTGAAGGAATACTAAAATTAAAAATCCTCAACTATAAATATTTAAACTCTAATAATCCAAACTTCATAAGTTTACAACTCGGGAATCCATCTCCAGTGGACCCCTAATAAAAATCCAAACCGAACGAAAATAAATAACTGAAGATATAAGCCCAAATCAAATATCTGGAAAGAAGTCCTACATCGTCGGTAGAATGAAAGATCATCTCTGCTCAGCTCGAACAAGCTCTAAAACCTCAAACATCCAATACCTGAAAAAAAATAAGTGGGTCAGGCCCACTAGCAAGTTCTATACTACTACTACCCAAGTAGAGACCCGATACGCATGTACATCCTAACCAATCCAACAATAACTAAATAGTCCGTAGATACATATATATATAATCACACTACAGGACTCTCACTGGACTACAGGCCCGTCTCAACCTGACTAGTAGGCACCATGCAAAATGCACCTGAGGTGGGCATGACTACCTAGACCTAGCAGGGTACACATCCAA